CGAGGGAGGGGATTCTGCCCCTCTACTCCGCTCTGGTGAGACCCCACCTGCAGCACTGCGTCCAGCTCTGGGGCCCCCAACATAAAAGAACAAGGACCTGCTGGAGTGAGTCCAGAGGAGGGCCACGCAGCTGATCAGAGGGCTGGAGCACCTCTCCTGTGAAGACAGGCTGAGAGAGTTGGGGTTGTTCAGCCTGGAGAAGAGAAGGCTCTGGGGAGACCTTACAGCAGGCTCCCAGTAGTACCTGAGGGGGGCCTACGAGAAAGCTGGAGAGGGACTTTTTACCAGGACAGGTAGTGATAGGACAAGGGGTAATGGCTTTCAACTGAAAGAGGGTAGATTTAGATTAGATACAAGGAAGAACTTCTTCACTATGAGGGTGGTGAGGCACTGGAACAGGTTGCCCAGAGAAGTTGTGGATGCCCCATCATTGGAAGTGTTTTTGAGGTCAGGTTGGACAGGGCTTTGAGCAGCCTGGTCCAGTGGAAGGTGTCCCTGCCCACAGTGCGGGGGGTTGGAACTAGGTGATCTTTAAGGTCCCTTCCAACCCAAACCATTCTATGATTATAGCAAGATTTCTGTTCCCACCAGATTTGTTCTACATTCTGTTCTCTCAGTGTAAATGTTTTGATTTGTGTAATCGTGACAGTATTTCCAAAGTCCTATAAAATTATTTTCGTGATTCCAAATATAATTGCATGAAGATGAAGGAAGATGAGAAGCAGCAGGGAAGAGTTTTGATATTCTTCCTTGCTGAGAGGAATACTGTCTGTGTACGCAGCCACTTGCCCCAAGTCACTTTTGGTTTCTCCTTTTACAATTAATTATTGTTCTTTATATCATTGCCACCCATCCGATTTGAGTTCTTTCTTCTTCCTGGAACTGTCCCAAATATTCATGTCTTGTTAGGGCTTTGTGCTTTTTCACATTCTGACTATTTGCCTGCGTATCTTTTTCTAATCCAACATTGCTTCTTCCCTGTTCCTTTCAGGCCACGGTGTTTTGAGTTAATCTCTTTGCACACTGCTATATTCCAGCATTCATCAGGCGTTCTGTAGAGCTTGCTGCAATTCTGGCTGCCCCCCTCTCAAGAGAGGAACAGTGGGATGCAGCCAATTGGATGGGGGTTATTGCACAAATCTGAAAAGGAGGTCGAGAAATCATAGTTATCAAGCAGCTGGTGCCAGTATGCTAATATACCACCCAGAAATATGTGATGAATTCAAAAGAGGGTGAAGCCTTAATTGGTGGTTAGAAACTACTGACTTGTGACATATCTTAGAACTATTAAATACAGATTTTAAAATGTAGAAAGACATTAGTAATCAAATGTGTGCGAAAGGAATGGATGAAGCAGTTTGCTGTTCTTTGTGGTAACTTCTTATTTCTGGTTTTGTTTTATTTAGGTACTCCTATCAATAAACCACCTGTTCTGGGCTACAAGGACCTTAATCTCTTCAAACTTTTTAGACTGGTATATCAGCAGGGTGGGTGTGACAATGTAAGTGTTGGATATTTCCTGAACTAAATACGCCTATTCATTCTTAAAGGCTGTGGCTTGTGGCTGTGTTAGATATCATTCGTTAATGTTCTTGGTTAACAAAACCTGAAAACTTCCTTTTTTTCTTTTTTCTTTCTTTCCCCCAAGATTGAGAGTGGTGCTGTATGGAAGCAAATTTATATGGACCTTGGCATTCCTATTTTGAACTCGGCTGCTTCCTACAATGTAAAAACTGCTTATAGAAAGTAAGTTCTCATACTGTGTAATGGTGAAAACATTTTTCCTTTTTTTTTAGTAGCATGTACAATATTCAAGCATTTTTTGATAGTTTAGTGAAAGAGTAATTGACGTTCTTCAGTCAGTGAGCAGTTCTGAGCATTTTGCAGTGCTAAGGATTGAAACAGTGGAGGAAAGGAGGGAGTGCTCAGGGCTGCCTAAATTCCTGTTGCTCTAATACGTTAGAATTCCACTCATTTTCTTATCAAGAAGCATTCCTTTTCAGCATGTGATGATGCCATTTCAGAGTACAACAATGAAATTTATAAAAAAAGCTTTGGCAAATTCAGCTTTGCAATTTATGGTGATTAACAAGAACAGATTCTGTCCACAGTTGCATGCTCATTGAGGACTGTAGATGCTGCATGCGGTGAGGAGAATTTTATACCAGTTTCTTTAACTTCCTGAAAAATGTTGATAGAGATGACATGTTTCAGATTGTGTATTTAAATATCACCTTTGTGGAATCTGTAGAATAATGGCTTTAGGGCATAACTATGTACATTGCTAGGGTGGATGTGACAGTATTGAGTAGTAAATTCACTGCTGTAATAAAAAAATGCATAAATCTTTTTATTCTGACCCCTGGTTTTCAGCTGTGTTTTAACTTTTGAAATGGAAACCTTTTAGGAATGATACTTTTCAAGCTCATTTTCTAAATAAAGATTATTTTTATTATTTATTCTCCTGGAAGTTTGGCAAGAAACAATTGGGCTTTTTGAGTAAAAGGGAAGAATGAGGTTCTCTTGACTCGAACCTAAGGAAATTTGGCTGGTTGAATAGGGATGACTAATGACTCAACTCATGTTAATGTTGATGAAGATGAAAATATTCAGACTATCTTCAGTGGGATTTGAACTGGGCACATATTTAAGGTCTGTATTTTACAGAGAAGAGTATCATAAAAAGTAATTGGTAAATATGTACGAGGTTGCTGTTAAGAGTGGCAATAGTTATGTTGTATGGACACATGATAGTATGTTGTAACTTGCATATTTATTCTTTGATGAATAAGCTAGTTCATATTTCTCTCACCTATAACTGGATTAGAGTGTGCACACAGGCAGTTACTAGAGAACAAGCTGATACATGGCAATTTGTTACCATGTGGTAACTTGTTTGTATGCCCATATTCTATTTCTAGGCTGATTTTAGCTGTCATTGTGCATTTGCAAAACAGTGTACATGTTCTTAGGCTTTACTGTCACGAATTCTTAACTGGATGGGGATGAAGTTAAATTTGTGGGAAGCACCTGTGTGTATTCTTTCTCACCATTTGACTTGTGTGCATAATTGTTTCATTTCAAAATCTTCTCTGGCTTTTTATTTTTTGTTTATTTGAGTTTGGTTTGTGTGTTGTTGTTTATTTTCCTGAAGTTACTGCTCATCTTGCTTTTCTATGAGCAGGAAAAAAGGTTTGATGCACTTCAATAAATAGAAAATAAAACATGAAATATGAATGAACCTTTATTTGTATCTATAGGTATCTTTATGGTTTTGAAGAGTACTGCCGTTCTGCAAACATTCAGTTTAGGACCATCCATCACAATGAGCCAAAAGTAGTAGAAGACATACAGAAACACGTGGAACCAATGGAGGAAAGTTTAAAAGAGGAACAAACAATGCCCCCAACAGAAGTTAAAAAAGAAGCAGAAGAAAATTATTCCAGCAGTGAAAGTGAAAAAGAAGAAATAGAACTAAGATCCCCAAGGGTAAGTGGTTTGAACTGATTTCTGTTTAGTGCTTAACAAAACCCCTTTGTATAGTGAACCGTTTACATAATGAGTTTTCCCTTGTGGAGTGATTGTACGTTTGAATTAGCGTACTTGTACAAGCGTAGGACAGGGTTCTGCAGATGCAGAGTTGGTGTTAACTGTTAATTGTGTTCTACCTGTGAATAGAATCAGTTTTGATTGTTTCTTCATATTCTAAACCATCCATGGGGTTTTCTCAGGCTGTGTTGCATGTCAGACATGTTTTGATTCAGGGATGGCTTGAGAGCTACTGAGAGCTGTATATCATCAGAACAGTGAAACTCAGCAGGACAGTCTTGGTTGTGAATTTCCACAGGCACGTGGAATCTGGAGCTTTCCGGCAAGAAGCAGAAATATCAAGGGACTGCTGCAGCTTTAAGAATCAAAGAAAGACCCATTTCTCCGAGTTGATTTTTATCACAATATCTCTTCTTTTAATAAAAGAAACACTGCAATTTTACAGTACGTAGACAAAAGTAGAGGGAGGAGCGCTTAGTTTTTGTCTTCCTTTGTCTTTGAATGCTGTAGAGGTGAGGGTTGTATTAGAAGTTACATAGATAAGACCAGCTACTGGATACCGAACCTGATGGAGAATACAAGAATACTTTTAAGGTATTTGAATCTGACTGGCTTAGTGCTCTGTAGCGCTCCTGTTAATTCTGTTAAAAGGACATTTTGTGTTCCTTAATACACCATGGTTACTGAGGGACAAGGAATTGCTACTTTTTAAATTGTTCAAGTTGTAAGGATTCTGTTCAACCAAAATGTAATTCTATTATCGTACTTCTTGCAAACCAGCTTTTCAAGCAAGTATGTGGCCTTTAAACTAATAGGTGAAAAGACATAGTGTAAACATAAGTTTAGATTTGTATTACGTATTATATTTCTATCTAACTGCAAGTGGTTTTTCCGAGCTGTATCAGACTTAATGAACTTCCTGGCATGACACTAGGTTTGCTGTTAGTTTGTTTATTTTTTTGTTTGTTTTTGGAGATAACTAGTGAGAGGATAAAGGAATGGAAGAATTCTTTGTCTTTTTTATCATTGTCTGTCTATGTTACTTTGTTAATATTTAAATATTAATTGAGTATATATTTTATTACTTTATTAATCCAGTCACCAATTATCTACTTATGAATGATTATTGTTCCAAAGTATTTACCGTTATACTGCTGTGAATTTTAATTATTATAGTGCCTTCATTACTGTCATCTTTGGATGGTCTCCAAATAATTAATCTTGCATTTGTAATGTATTTTAAATATTTTGATTGCAAAGCAATGACCTTATCCAAGAGACTTTTAATAGTAAACTGATAAACCTGTATTAGATCCCCAAGAACCAGTTGTAGATAGTCCCAGACAGCAGTTGCCTGGCTACTCACAGTACCTTTTAAAGATGTGATACTTACACTTTTTTTTAAAGCTGACAAATTTATGTTCTGTGAAATCAACAGGTGGCTATCAGGATTGAAGATGCTGAAAGGGAGATTCCTTCTCTCAGTAGTTCTGTACAAGCACTTTAATTAATGCTATTGCTGTGGTTGAAGAAGGACTTTTGGTCCTTTCTATACGGGTAACAGACCTTACAGGTCCAAATGAATGTCCTGAAATCCTCCGGAAGTTAATCAGAAGCTCATCCTCTTTATCCCAAACCAAGCAGAATGGCTTTATTTTGCTTTTTTCCCCTCAATAACAAGACTTTAAGCTAGTATCTGGGTGATCAGGCCCAGGCTTCATGGGTTTATGAAAGGCAGGTCCTGCTTGACTAACCTGATCTCCTTCTATGACAAGGTGACCCGCTTAGTGGATGAGGGAAAGGCTGTGGATGGTGTCTACCTAGACTTTAGTAAAGCCTTTGACACCGTTTCCCACAGCATTCTCCTGGAGAATCTGGCCGCTCGTGGCTTGGACGGCTGCACTCTTTGCTGGGTAAAAAACTGGCTGGATGGCGGGGCCCAAAGAGTGGTGGGGAATGGAGTTAAATCCCGTTGGCGGCGGGTCACAAGTGGTGCTCCCCAGGGCTCAGTGCTGGGGCCAGTTCTGTTTCATGTCATTACCAATGATATGGACGAGGGGATCGAGTGCACCCTCAATAAGTTTGCAGACGACACCAAG